TGGGTGGGTGGGAGGGGAGAGAGGCAAATTCTTTGGGGGTTCAAAAACTCACATTCCTTATGAGGAGAAGGAAACTACCCTGCCTGGAGCTTTGTAATTTATTCACATTTATTTTAATCATGAATTTTGGAAGCTGTTCAAGGGATCAGAGTCTTAGAATAGGTCCCATAGAAAATGGATTAGCGAATGGATAACACAGTTCCAGATGTGTGATGTACTTATTTAGTGCACTGCTAAATCCAGTTAAGACATGGACAGGAGGTCTTCATTCAAACTGTCTGTGTAACACTTTAAAAAGAAAGGTAGTGCCTGGGCATGAGTGTGTGCACACATATGACATGTTTGCTTCATAAAATGCTAGCCTAAATTTACTCCTCCTGGCTTTGATGATTTATAGAACTAATCAAAACTAAAAAGTCAATTGCTAACAGGTGAAATCTATAGTACCACAGCTGTATTTGGAGAGGAAAAAGGTTTCTTAGCACTTCTGAGGAGGAATTGCATTTCTTCATAAATAAGGGAGTCCTTTTTTGAAATCCAGTTCAGTGAAATAGCTTTTAAATTACATTTCTGGCAAAGCCAGGATTTGTAATAATGGGATTTGTATGAGACTTTTACCTTTGGCACTGTGTAGACGCTGTAGCTTTGACCCAGTGAAATGCCTGTGCTCTCATTCATGGTGCTGTTCTGCACATCTCCGATGGGCAAGGGAGCACTGTGTGTTTCCGAGGGGAGCAGAGAGCAAGCCACCATTGATACCAGTGTGTTGTCCCCACAGCGACTTCGATGCTCTGAACGAAGAGGATGTTGTCAAAAATAATCAGCTGGCGTTTGATGTTGCTGAGCAGGAGTTTGGGATCCCCCCTGTGACCACGGGGAAGGAGGTGGGGTCAGCCGGGGAGCCTGACAAGCTCAGCATGGTCATGTACCTCTCCAAGTTTTATGAACTGTTCAGGGGCACACCTCTGCGGGCAGTAGGTAAGCTGAACCCAGGCTGCTCCTAATTCTGGCAAGTTTGGGGAGCAGAAGCGCTTCATCCAGGCTGCTTATGAGCACAGCTCTTGAGCCAAGAGTCCTTTCCAAGCTGAGCCGTTCTGGCATGCGAGTGTGCCTGCTTCTGTCTGCAATAGTTACCTTGTCCTTAAAAAAGGAAAGAGGGAAAAACTTGATTGAAGACCAGGGTTTTGTGGGTCCTTGGTGGTTTCAGAGAACAGGAGCAGCTGGATAACTGCAGCTTGACATCATGAAGTTCATGTATCAGGTCGTTAGAGTGATTCTCTGGTAAGGATGACTGCATATGGCATGTCCATTGCTGGGTGTTTCTCTTTGTTTTTTAAAAAAGAAGTCACCCTACATTGTATGTATTTGCTTTTGTTTGCCTGGGTTTCTTATATATAATTGCTACCAGCACTCAACTGGAAAGTTCTCAGTCAAAGTATTTTAAAAAGAAACCTGAATAAATATCCTAAGCAGTTGTTTTTTGAACAGATGCTGGCGACAAGCAAAATGGAGAAAATAATGATCTTTGTTCAGCAAAATCATCAAACTTCATCTTTAATAACTACATCAATTTAACTTTACCAAGAAAACGAGTACCAAAGGTGAGTTGTGAAGGAAGACTTGTGCTACAAATCTTTCTTTTATAACAAGATGCAAATAAATGGTCAGCCTCAGAAATAAGGGTTTTATATATATCCTACTATTGAAAGACCTGCAGAAGGAGATTTTTTTTGAACATAGTAAAAAAGTAAAATAACATTTCACAGTAAACAAAGCTAACACACACATGAGCACTCAATCATTATGATGTTTGCAAGGATAAAACTGAAGCATTGTCAGTGTCAGATTGCTGAATCAATAATAGTCCCAGTTAAGCATTCTCTGTAAATGCAAAATTTTGAATCACAGTGAGAATTTGAGTGCACTTGGGAAGAATCTGGTTCCATTGTCCATGTCAACCTCATTCAGTGTAGGTAAAAGTGAGGGGAGGAGGATGTTTTAATTGGTGTGTTTATAAGTTGTGGTTTTCAACTTGAAATATTTGAGATCTTGGCTCCATTACCTCTATTGTCTTTTATGTTTTACTTTTGGAAATTTTTCAAAAGGTGTTTTTAGGAGGTTTTGTGAAATGCTAGATGCTAGGTTTTATATCTTTGTTGTGGGCTTTGGGGGTTTTTTTTTGTTTGGCCTTTTTTTTTGAGATGGGCAAGTCTGGAACTTTTCTGGGCTATTTCTGCCTATAAGAAAAATAGTACCATAGTTCTGTATTCTTACAGTTAAATATACAGCTATAATACATATCAGTTCAAATAATCACTGGTATGCTGGAATGCTTATTGATTGGGTGGGGGTGTTGTTTTTTAACTAAAGCAGTGATTAGAACAGTTTGTGGATGCTCTTAAGGTTCTGGAGGGAAACTTTCAAATCCTTACAGATGTATAAAGCCTGCAACGGTGACAAGCAGTCGGCAGGTTGACTAACGTGACTCTGAGATAATGATCTCTTAGTCATACCCATATACTTTTCTCTCTTGGTCACTTATTAATGAAAAGTTATTGACATGCCCTGTTTATGTCCCTGTATAAAACACATCTGTGCCCATACATGTTACGATTAAAGACTCCAGGGCCTTGAAGGGTTATGGAGACCTGAGTTAATACTGTCTGGCATAGGACTGTGTGCCATGAGAGTATTGCCTCTGTGTTTCTGAATGGATTATAACTTCAAAAGTTGTACATGATTTAATTTAAAAGTTACTCTAATGAAATTATTCAGTAATAAACTGTTTCACCTTCTGCCTATTCATTAACTTGGTCCTCTTCTAAAGGAGACCTTGAGGAGGGGCTTTGCTTTCACAGCCAAGCCTACTTTCATTTTGACTTCAATTTAAATGGGGAGTGTCTGCACAATCTGGCTCAGAGGCAGCAGTGTCTCAAGTCCAACTGTTGCAGATTAACCAGCACGAGTTAGCAGCATGTACTCCTCCACCAAAATGAATTTAACTTCTGCATTTTCTGAAACACGGCTTAATGCAAAACTGTTCTAGGTTTTGAGTTTCCTGGGCTAGCCAGAAACTATGTATCGACTACAATGGTTCTCAAGTTCTTTCTTTGTTTCTTTTTTTCTTTGCTTTTTTTTTTTTTTAAACAGATCTCCTTAATGCTTAACTGTATGGCTTCATTTACACCTATACAGAGACTCTTAAGTTTTGCCTGCAAAAGTACAGATTTCCTACTTCTCGTGTAATTCAGTGTCCTTAATAAAAGTTCAGGTGTACATGCATGTACTGCATTTCCCAGTATTTTAATATATTGCTTTTTAAATTTGTTGCTATCTTATCTTCTCAGTTTTGGTAGAAATGTGATTTCACCCCCACCTGAAGAATTACTCCAGAATTTCCAGATATTTCCTAGACTGACTTATGTCTTCAATATTTTCTATCCATAAACACAGTTTCAAAACCTGTGGACAGTCAATTGCCCAGTAACCTCATATATCCTTCTTGGGAAATAACTTTTCCCTGCCACCCACATATACACAAAACCAAGCGATATGTTTCCCAGCTAACCAAGCAGTGAGAAACCAAAGAGGCAAAACAAACATTGCTTTTTCTTGTGGGTGACTTCTTTAGAAGAAAAACTTTTTTCATGACCACAATGTTGTTGTTCTTCCATCAGTTATTTGCAGAAGTAAATAGACTTTTAGTAGCGGGGAGAGCTTTCCATTACTAAGATGTACAGCCCTCTGACTAACCTCCCATCATGAAATAAGCCTTCTGTCATAACAGGAGGTATAGTTCTTGGCACTACATGAAAGCATGAGGTGATTTGCTTGACAGGTCCCTTTGGTTTCACACTACAGGGGCTCCTTTGAAAGGAGAGTGGAAGTGCTATTTTCCAAATCGGCTTGGGGAGCAGGACTGTCAAGACCTTATTTTGTATGAGGCTTTGCAGCCTTGTCATGGACGGGGTGTGGAACTTAACGAGAAACACAGTACTTGGGCAAGGACAGAGACTTGCGAGTGCCGTAACTGTCTGAAACTAGCTGAAATGAAGCTCCTTGGAAAGCCACTGCTTGAGTTAAGAGTTTGGCTGTGCCTTTGCTTTTATGGTTCTTTCCCCTGCAAAAAGTGGTGCTGAGCATTATCCAGGCATGACAGTAGGAGAGCACTCGCATATCACGGAGTCAGAAACCAGCCAGGGAAACAGAGTGTCGCTTACTGAACTTTCCGTACCACCTAGTTTGTCCTTTTATGTGGCTGGAAGAGGGATCCTTATCTGGGTGCTTGTTGTGAGAGACCAGGAAGCGGGGGCCTGGAGCTGGTGTGGCAGTAGCTGTTCTGGCAGCGTGTGCTGGGCTGGACAATGTTTTCCATTCTCCTACGAGTGTCAGCCAGGCTGGAGAGGAACTGAAATTTCCTGTGCTCCAGACTAATAAATGAATGGAGGTGTTTATACAATAAAGGGTACAATCCTTTTTCTTGGAGTTTTGCTAGGCAATTAAATTGTTTTGTCTTTCACGTCTTTGTAAATACGTTAATGAAAGTCCTTTATGTAAGATTTTTGAAAGGCAACATCTTGTTTGCTCCATTCACTTAGGCAAATTCTGCTTTTATGTGGTACAGATTATTATGCAGAATACATTGTGCTGTTTGTTGTTCACTCTTCCTTGGTAGACTAAGGATTATAGGTATTATAAAGCTAGGTTACTGAGAGCTGGTGCTTGAAAGGCAATGTACCAAACCAAAGAAAGTAATCAAAATATTGTCATCTGATTCTTTTGGTGTTTGCCCAGAAGTTGTTTGGGATTACTTCTATTCACTGCGTAATGATTTATTATAAACAGTGTATATGTAAAAAGGAAGCCTGTATTCTTTGATCTTTCTCTCTTTATTCTTTTTTCTTTTTTTTAAGTTGGCTGAGCAATCACTAAGTTACAGTGTGGGCAAATGCAAATAAGTGGAATGTAGTTTATTGTTCATAAAATATAACCTAACATGACATTTATCAGACAAAAGCCCTCTTCATTGTACCAATTCTTCAAGACTGAATTTAATAAGAACTGATATAAATTTTTAAGCATTGACTATTTTGCAAGCTTGTGTGCACTGAGTATGAAGTATTATTTATTGTGTGTGTAATCTCCAGTTCAGTAAAATGATTGAACATGTGCATAGCTTGAGCACAAAATAAGCAATTTGGTTGCTTAAGTACTGTAATGTAAAGCCATAATCAGGGAGAGGAACGTTACAAGGGAGACAGACATTTAAGGCAGACAAAAACAGCTCAAAAAAAGAAGGTATGTCTGCACTAAGAACACATGATCTGCATGCAGATATCTAGGTTAAGAGATGTGCAGGCTTATAGTGAGAGAGTGAGGGGTTTTTTTTATTTTGTTATTTATATGGAAACCAATGTAGTCTAGACTAAAATGCACAGAATAACTGATGCTGTAATGCCTTTTTCTTCAAGGATGTGCTAGTGTTTTGTGAATTATAAACTCTGTAGTACTGAAAGAGGACAAGATAAACGCCAACGTTGTAGGGCCTGTGTTCAACAAAGCGTACAAGTATGTGTTTTCACCCATCGGAGTCCAGTGGGAGCTCCCAGTCAGAGGTTACAGGGCAGCTTTTACATACGTGATAACTGCCATGAGGGCCACCAGGCTCCTCGCGTGAGGAGCGATCCTGCTGAGCTGGGGGGCCCTAATGAGGTGCACCAGTGCAACGAGGACCCCCACGCGCTGGCACTGCTCACCTGGGTTTGCCTTGTTTAACAGAGGCCAGACCACACTTTCCTGGTTATGAAAGTTAATATCCTGGGAGCAACTGCTTGGGTAAATCTGGTAACTGCTGCAGTAAACCATAGAACTTGTTTTGGCTTGTTTTACCGTTTCAGGTTGAAGGGAAAACGGAAGAAAATGAGACTAACAAAAGGCGTCGAAAAGGTCTTTTTGGTGTCTTTGAGGAGGTTGGTGTTCAGTGGTGTCTACACATATCCAGCTTCTTGATGAGCTGAGGAAGCAATGGGAGTCGGCGGGTCAGGGCTTGGCCTCTTGCTCTTGGCAGGACCAAAAAGCCTCTCCCCTTAAAACCTTGAATTTACTAAAGAGCGGCTAAATTTATTTAAATCATTTGGTAGGGAGAAGAGCATTACCTAAATTGCACTAGTTTTCTTTCTGACCCAAGAACATCTAAGGTATTAGGTTGTTTCTTTCTTTTTCTTTTCCAAACTCAGTTATTTAAAGAAATTTTTGTTTGAAGAGTTTGCACTGCAGCTTGGTTCCTAGCCCCTCTCTGATTAGTTACCTTTGTGATTCTGCCTTATCATCACCAGCACTGATTCACGTTCCCTTTTTACTGTGCTCTGGGACCAAAGAAAATACTTTTTTGGTGACTTCTGCGTGCTAAACAGTGTAATTTTTAATATACTGTAGACTGTATTTCCTTTCGCCCTTTGCTTATAAGGATGTTATCTCTTTCCTTCTTTCTTCATGAGTGTCATAGGTAAACTCAAGAAAAACATAGTTTGTTGTTTCCTTGCAGGCTTCAGGCTTTTCAAGCCAAGGGACAAATGCTGGCAAAGAACAGAGTGATGGCAGAGAAGGCATGAACCAGAATAAAGTTAAATCAATGGCAACTCAACTGTTGGCAAAGTTTGAAGAGAATGCTCCAAATACAATTTTTAGGAGGCAGGTAGGTCATAGATGAACATAAAAGTATCTCTGAAATTAAACTGTAGTCCCTCCTTGTGAATATGATGTAGATTTCCAAGGGAAAAAAAAAAAAATGGATCTGTTATGCGTTTGAAGTGTGTTGTCTTTTTTTTTTTTAGACTTTATGCAAATTAAAGGTATTCGTCTCAATACTTAGCAAACAAATATGACTAATATAGACTGACTAATACATATGAATATAATCTATTAATATCTGTTATATTAATAAAGTGTAGTGGAATTGCAATGTCTAGAAATCTCTTGTAAACCAGTCTGTAGAATTTTTGCTTTGTGTGGAAGTCTAAGCTGGCTGCATATGGTATTGCAGAAGGACTTTTCTTTCCTGTATTCTATGAATAAGGGACACTACATATCCAGTCGAATCTTTCTTTGTGGAAAATTTAGAAAGCATTAGAAGGGAACCTAATCTTTTGCAAGATGTGTCTGGCTGCCATTTCCAATCCTAAAGTAGGCATAATGGAATATATTTGTACATTCCACGGCATTTTCATTGTTTGTTGTCAGTGTGACTAGTGATGTTTTAAAAATAATGCCATGCTGTCAAGGTAGAGATGATAAGCTCAAAATCACACTTCAGCCGGCGAGATGGTTTGAGTCAGCTGAGTTCAGATCTGTCACCTAAAAGATCTGAAGGAAGGATAAACAAGGTGTTGAGGTTCCGTCAAGGGTGGTGGCTTTCTTAATTCTTTGTGCTTGTACCCATTTGTTTATTTACATATCTAAGTCCCCCAGAAGTATAGGCTTCATAGGTGTCAAGTGACTTTCTCAGTCTGTGAGCCGCTGTTGTTTGCCCTCTACCTGGCTACTTGTCCATGCCCTGAGCTTTCTGCGTGCGATACATGTGCAGAGGTTTGCTTGGCCATGTTGAAGGAAGCCTCGATGCTTTACCTTTTGATCATAACCGCTCCTAAAGAATACTGAATATGCTGAATTTTAAGTATATCTTTGATTGTAGAAGGGGTTAATAAATTGGGTAGGTGACAAAAATCTGCAAAACGTGTTGTTAAGCTCCATAGTAATGTCTTTTAAAGCAGCTTTTATTTCTTTCTGCCTCAAAAGATCTTTGAATACTATTTACTGTCTTCCTTTTTTTTCCCCACTCTGTCTTTATAACTTTAAAAATGCTTTACAAGGAGCTAATAGATAGACCAGCCCTGCTCTCTTCTGACCCTCCCGTTAATCCTCGCTTTGCTAAACCTAAGGATCCAAGTCTTCTTCCACCTCAACCAAAAAGGCAGGTAGGAACTCATATGGGTAACACCTGACAAGCATACCATTTCTCTTGCTGCTGGGAACTTAATGTTATTGTGTAACTACAGAATATATAAACCAGTATTTGGATGTAATCTGCAGCATTAACAGATATATTTAGCTGAGAACTGTGAAAACCATGTTAAAGTTTAAAGCTATTTTATACGTGCTTGACCAGATGAGAAAATTATTTGAAAGAATCAGTAACTGTGTGGGGAAAAAAACCTAAAAACATAGGCGTTGATTTCTGTGTTATCACATCTAGACTCCGGATTGTATAAATATAATTACATAGCTACATTTAACATGTGAGAAAACTACAGCAGTATCTGAAAATGTGTTTGTGCATGTACTTGATGCTTTGGGCTGTTGTAATGATAAGTCAAAGGGAGTTTTCCACCCCGAGAAACCTGGCAAAAATACCTAAGATAAAAGCTTGAGCATTGAAAAGTTGATACTGATGCCCAAGGTTTTTTTATTTCTTTAAGTAGAACTTACAATAAGAATTTCTGTTGAAGGCTCTTTTGCAGCATCTTATACATGGGGCAAAAAGTTTGAATACATTGTCTAAATTTTTCTCTTAGTACTTCCAATGAAAGCAATCTTATATCAAATAGTATTGACATTCACTTTACACTAGAGTTTTAAATGGAAGTAAATACCGGGCAGTGGCATTTCAAAAGTAGTCTGCAGTGAAATGAGGTCTGCATTGCCTGTAGGAATCTGCAGATCAGCTTGATGAAAAATGTGGATTCATAAACCAGTTGAGAATTGTTGTTTTAAAGGCAGGTGTGCTATCCTGAAACATCAGGAGCACACTGCAAGTTGATTTGCATTAGGTTTTTTAATTTTAATTCTGAGAAATTTGGAAAGTTTGTGTGTATGTTTGAATTGGGCAGATAGGATGAAGTAGAAAACTGTCATGAAAAGACCAACTGGAAGGTCATTTTTAAGACTGAATCTGATAAAGCTGAACTGGTTCAAATGTCTCATTTACTTCAAAAGCTATTTTATATGAAGATTCAAATTCAGAGACCTTTTCTGAACTCCTCAGAAAATGCTTTAAATCTGAAATACATTATAGCTTGACTTGGGTCAGACTAGATCTAGAATTATGCTGATAATCTTACAATTTGATTGTAAGTTTAGTTTCAGGCAGATGTGATGCTAAAAAAAAAAAAAAAAACCAAACCTTTGCTAAAAACCTTAAAAGGAGATGTAGTGTCATGTTCTTCTGCACTGATGCTATCCGGGGTTATTCATAAAAACTGAGACAAACCTAGAGAAGGATGTCAAGACCTGTGTAAGTTATGTAGGACTGATTTATTTCAGTGCATGGACACAAGCGTCAGAGATGCAGTAGATAGTATGCAAAGACTGATGTGAGAACATCTTATTTCTAGTTATGTGCATGACTGTGCTGCGCTTTCGGAAGCATCCTTAAAAGCTGCATATACTGCATGGTAGTGCAGAAAGCAGATTTTTTTTCACTTCAAGTGTTTCCCAGTTTCAGGTGGTAGCTAGGAGTGAACACGAGGTCAGGGAACCCAAACAGTCTTTAAATGGTTCTGATCATATGGCCAGGAGAGCAAAGACTGTACAAAAAACAGATACCCAGCCCAGTCTGTCAGAAACCTCTGAAAATCTCTCAACTGCCTGTTCTGCTGCATTTGTACTTTCTGGAGTGCTTGAGCGTCTTCAGCACCTGGAGGAAAAAATGAAACAGGTGACAAGCCATTTCTTTTCCTTTCTGTCTCTTACCTGCATATATTAATCTATATACTGTATTTTCCCTGGATATGCTGGCTTTTTCTCTGTTGACTTTAGGTTATATTAAGGCAATAAAAAGTCTTTCTACAAACTTGCTGTATTCTGATGATGTATGTGACATTAACTGAAATCTCTCTCTTTCTTTTCTTGGCTTTCCTTCCCTGGCTCTTATTGCAGAAAAGAGCTCAGACCATAGCAAATAGGGAATTCCATAAAAAGAACATTAAAGAGAAGGCAGCACATCTTGCCTCAATGTTTGGATACATGGAGATTCCAAAGGTGAATATTAGGTTTTGCACCTGAAGAAGTGCTGAGTTAGAAGATGTGTAAGAATTCATGGGGGCAAAAAATTGCAGTGGTTTTGGTTTTAACTTTCCTTTCATCCTGGGTGGATCTGAAAAGTAATGTGGATTGCACTGAAATTGGTAAAAATCTTTGTTTAAATATGATTGCATAATTTAAGTGAGGTAAAACACAATCTAAATCATAAAGGTAGTCAGAGTATTTTAGCACGAGAGAAATGTGTTAGAATAAACCACGTCTTGTGCTTAAGGATACACTGGTAGCTCACAGTTCCTGATGAACTGGTGAGCAGCAGCTCCTGGTCAGTGCAATCTGGCATTTCTTATGTTTCATTATGCTTTCTCCCAGCACTATCTACCTTACTGCCCACTGTAAATATTTTTATAAGAAAACTGAGTACAATAATATCATTTGCTGTGAAGGTTTTGCCATGATGGTTTCCATGGTTCTTTACTGTGCAGAAATAGAGAAAAGAGCAGAATTGTAGTTGTTGTCTTTCTATTTTTTTGATGCATGACTATGAAATTATTCTCTTAACCTGTGCTAATGTCACTGTCTCTTGGATAACTCTCCTGTTTCTGCTCTACACAGAATAAGCTACCTACTAAAGGCTTATCCCATTCTCAGCCCCCAACTCCCTCTTGCCCTCCACCTCATGATTCAGCTGCTGCCTCTTCTCCATCATCTGTCGGTTCAGCTTACCCTGCTGTTCCTTCTAGCCAGGTACTCTATTAACACATTTTTCCTGTAAAATCCAAACTTGCGCTAAAGCTGCTTGAGAAATGGCTTGGATGGAAGGCACTGCCAGCAGATCTGTTGTATATGTTGTATTTCACATTTTGATCAAATTTTCCTTTGTTCACTGTTGTTAATTCTGCATGTTTGTAAGAGGAAAGTCATCATTAAAAATAGTTCAGATATAAAGCTAAGGAACAGAGGAAATAGTTCACAAAATTTTTGCTTCGATTCTGAAAATTTTGCATTGCTGCTTATTTTAAATGTTCTGTTGTTGGATAATACCACAGGCATGCCTAGCAGAGAGCTTCACATTGTATAGCTAACTGGATGCTATGGGATCGATTAGTTGTTCTTGGGTGGCATTTGTGTTTCTGTCATAAGAATCCATCTGGACCGCAGAAGAACCTGCACAATAATGGCTATTTTAACTAGAGGACATGTCTTACAATTGTATGAGCACTTGTCAATACAGACAGATTTTATCATTGTTTTGTTTGTTTACTTATTTATACTTTAAACTTGCTTCTGCACATTAACTGCTAGAACACAGTTCTTTGTAATAGTGAACTTTACAGGGAGGAAACATGCATACTCTGAATGCAAGCAATTAGAAGAATTGAATCAGAGAGATTCAGCTGTTATTACTTATGCTGATGTTACAATGGGCTGTGCTTTTATCTGTGGAAGGTAAGATGACATTGGCTTCTAGGGCCCCTTGTTTTGGAAGGATTTTAATTGAGGAAAGTTTGATATTTTTCAGCTTTTTGGGGCAGGTAAAGGCCTGGGTTCCCTTTCCTTCACCCACAGATTATGTAGCAGCAGTCTGGGAACACTGCAGTATCGAACAGGGTTCATGTGGAAATAAAGGTGAAAACATCAAGTTTCTAGAAGTATTGAAGGTGACTGCTGTGACCCAGTGCAGGTGCTGCTGGAGCTGGCAGCTCTGCCTGACACAGGGAAGAAATGCTATTCAGCAAAATTGGGTACTGTCTCCATTTACAGTAAGGAGGGGCAAAGCATTCTGCCTGCTTGTTGTATTTAAGTAACAGAAGTTTTATGAAATACTTGTATTGCCCAACTTCAGGTAAGCCATGGCTGAAGGTAATTTCCCATCTGGT